CCCTTAGTATTCTATTGATAAATAAGTTGACAGCCTTATGAAACTTCTTTGTAGGTAAATTTCTTTTCTCTGGCTGCTTTAAGATTCTCTCTTTGTCTTTAATTTTTAGCACTCTAATTATTGCGTGTCTTGTCATGGACCTCTCAGTGTTCATCTTTATTAGTACTCTCTGTGCTCCCTCAAGTTGTATGACTTTTCCATTGACAAGATTATGGATGTTTTCTGACATTATTTCTTCAGACAGATTTTCCATTCCTTTCTCACATTCTTCTCTTTCTGGTATGCCTATGATGCAGATGTTGTTACATTTCATATTGTCCCAAATGTCCCTTAAACTGTTCTTCTTCTTCTTTATTAAAAATCCTCAACCAAGGATATTTTGCATTGATATTTTTAGATAGAATGGGAAGAAGGGAGAGAGAGAGAGAGAGAGAGGGAAACATTGATGTCAGAGAGACACATTGATTGGCTGCCCCTTGCTTGACCCCAACCAAGGCCGGGGATTGAACCTGCAACTTAGGTACATGCCCTTGACTGGGAATGAAACCTATGACTCTGGTCTGTGAGCCAGCGTTCTACCCATTAATCCACACCTGCCAGGGCTGTTCTTTTTTTTCTTTTTTCTTTTTGGTTCTCTGATTGAGTGATTTTTTTCTACCCTTTCTTCTAATTTACTGATTCAATTTTCAGCTTCCTCTAATCTATTGTTTATTCCTTCCAGTGTATTTTTTATTTCTGTCATGTCATCCTTCATTCCTGACTAGCTGTTTTTCATAGTTTCTATTTTTTTCATGCTTTTCAACACCCTTATAATCATTACTCTGAACTCTATATTTGATAAAGTCCTCATCTCCATTTTATTTAGTTTTTCTTCTGGAGAATTCTCTAGTTCTTTCTTTTGGGTCCTGTTTCTTTGTCTACCCATTGTTACTGTCTCTTCATGCTTGTTTCTATTTATTAGGTATATATGCTATAACTTCCATTTTTAATATGGTGGCCTTCTGTAGTGAGTGTCTTCTGGGACCTAATGGTGTAGTCTCCTTGATCTTCTGAGCTGTGTGTTCTAGAAATGTTTCTTGTGTGGGTTATGTGGGCCCTCCTATTGTCATTTTCTCTTAATTGCCATGGTCCCTTTCATGGGTGGGATGGGTCCTAGGCTGGCTGACTATGATGCTCAACCTCAACCACATTGTGGCAGCTGTTATACAGGTGCTGATAGAACAAAACAAAACAAAACAAGACAAAACCAAAAAGGACACACACACACACACACACACACACACACACAATGAAAACTAATAACAAAAACAAAAACAACCCCTCCAACAATACATAAAGAATAAGAAAAGAGAGGAGAAAGAAGGAGAAAAATAAGACCTGAGGCTGAAAAAATTAGAGCAGAAAGAAGGAAATGAAAAAGGAGTGTGTGAAAGAAAAGTATTGCTTTTCTTTAAGGAGAAAGGAAGAAAATATTAGAAGATTGTAAAAGGTGATAACAATAAAATAATATATAGAATAGAAAGAGAAAATGAAAAAATAAAAGTAAAAAAGCAAAGACATAAAAATATAGGTGGAGAAAGGACAGAGAGAAATAAAGAATATGAGGAAGAAAAAGAGAAGCATAAACTAAGTGAAATTAAAAAAGAGAGAAGACTATATACAAAATAATAATTAAGAAATATAAGAAGAAGAAAATATTTGGAGTTTGGCTTTGCAGATTTCATGCTTACTACACCCAGCCCTTTGAACTGCTATTTGTGGTGCTCATAGGATTTTGCTTGATGTTGTTGAGGAGTGGCCCCTTGTTATGCCAGTCACTGGCCTTCTGGTGGATTCTCTGGTGCAATAACTGTCAGTTGTTATACCTGCCTGGTTTTTGGCCAGCAGTCTAACACTTGGCAGAGTAGAGCCCAGAAACTGGGTATGCCTTGGATCTCAGCCTCGAATGTCCCGGCTCTGAGTTGCTCTTCCTCTCTCCCATGGACTTTCACTCTATGGGGGGTATTTAAGACCTGGCCAGGGTGGTTTAAACAGATTCATGTTGAGGGTAGTGCTTGTAGCCTGTAGGAATGGGGGTGAACATTTCCTCTTTTTCACAGTGCTGGGCTGGCTGTACTCACTGGAGAGCTCAAACATGCTTCCCTATAATGGAAACACATCCATCAGACATATTGCAACACTTCAGCTCTGCCTATTTCCCTAGCACTCCCTTGTCACCACTAAAAGTAGGAGGGAATAAAAAAAAATCTCTTTTTAGCATTTCAATCTTTCTGTGCAACCAGCCTCCCTACTGGTCAAATGTCCATGTTGCCCTCACCATCAGACTGAGCTCTACCTGTGCAGATTTTAGTCCCATGCCATTTCCTTTGGCTTGGATCACAGCAGAACTGGGCAGATCTGGGCAAATCTGGCAGATTCACAGGTTAGGGACAGGGCACCATCAGTGCACTTGAGGTAGAAGTTAAGTAGAGAAGTTTGATCTCTTTTGCTTTTTCATTTTCCTCTAGGGCCTAGGCACATAGACCAGCCCCTGTCTGGCTCTCTGCCCAATGTTCTACTAGAAAATGGGGGCCTTCTCAGAGTCACTGCTGGGTATATCAATCAGCTTCTCTGCAGCTGAGCTCTGAGGCATGGATCTTTGCTGCATGGCCTCTGCCGAAGCACAAGATTAAAGCGATTATCCCTGGAGCTGCAGCAAAGGGGTTGCTCTTTGTCTGAGATATTGCAGTTTGAGCTTCCAAGTTGTAACAAATCTCTACTGTTTCCCTTTGCCTGGTGCTACATGAGTTCCCCTTCCCTTCTCTGTTTTTCTGAATTGGGAGTACAGGCCTGGGCCTGAGGACCCCCAAGCTCCCAGGGGGTTAAGCTCCACTTTCACAATATCTCTCCAGCTTCCCAGCTATACACCTGCGTGAGTTGGCTCACCTTCTTCGCGTCTCCTCTGTCTTTTCTCTGCGTGCCCTGTTCAGAATATATCAGATCAGCTTCTGAGTGAAAAAAGATAAAGATTTAAAATTAGAACAATTCTATCTTTTCCTTAGGCATGACATTACCAATTTTTATATTCACTCTATCTAAGACATATTATGCAAAATCAAATGTGCATCTTCTCCAAAAATACAAGAAAATTTTTGGGCATTCCTGAGGCTACTCTAATTTCTTCCATGTTTTACTTAAACAAATTAAGCAATTGGGGAACTTACCCAAAAATGTCATTATATTCCTTGCTGGCACAAAAATGCCTATCATGCCCTGGCCAGTTTGGCTTAGTGATTAGAGCATTGGCCTGTGAACCAGAGAGTCCTGGTTCAGTTCCCGCTAAGGGCACGTACCTCAGTTGCGGTTTGTCCCCTGCCCAGCTGGGGTAGTGTGGGTGGCAGCCAGTCGATGTGTCCCTCTCACATTGATATTTTTCTCTCTCTCTTCCTCCTCTCTCCCTCCCACTCTATCTGAAGATAAATGCAAAAGTGACCTCGGGTGAGGATAAAAAAAAAAGACTAAAAAATGCCTACTATTATGTCAAGCACTTAATATCTTGTGAATTAAGACAGAGTACAATAACAAAAGAAGTGTTTATGACCACTTTTGGTATTGGAGCTGGGTCTATGCATAAAATATCAGATGGTATTGAGGTAGTGGCTGTTTTCTTTTTGAATGTTTCACTCAGGTTTATTGCTAGCTAGCTTGGAATTGAATTATCTTTTTATTTTAATTTAATTAATTTCTTTTTGTTATACATGTTTCTCCTCCCCCCACACTGATACCCCCTTTCCTTCCCTCCCCACACTGTCCCCAGCTTTGTTGTCCATGTCCATTGTTCATGCATACATGCATATAAGTAATGTGGTTTATCTCTCTCCCCACCCCCTCTTCTGGAGATTGTCAGTCTGTACTCCACTTCCACGTCTTTGGGACTACCCCATTCCTCAGACTGTTATGTTCATCATATTCCACCAATAAGTGAGATTATGTAATATTTGTCTTTCTCTGCTTGGCTTGCTTCACATAGGATAATACTCTCCAGCTCCCTCCATGTCATCTCAAAGGATAAGAGATCTTTCTTTCTTACAGCTGCAGAATACTCCATTGTGTATATGTACCACTAATTTTTTATCCATTCGTCTACTGATGGACACTTGGGCTGTTTCCAGATCTTAGCTATTGTAAATATTGCTGCTACAAACATGGGGGTACATATATTCTTTCCGATGGGCGTTTCAGGCTTCTTAGAATATATTCCTAGAAGCGGGATCACTGGGTCAAATGGAAGTTCAATTTTTAATTTTTTGAGGTAACACCATATTGTTTTCCATAGTGGCTGCACTAGTCTGCATTCACACCAGCAGTGTACTAGAGTTCCCTTTTCTCCACACCCTCACCAACACTTGTTGTTTGATGATTTGTTGATGGCGGCCGTTCTGACAGGTGTGAGGTGGTACCTCATTGTTGTTTTAATTTGCATCTCTCTGATGATTAGTGATGTTGAGCATTTCATCATATGTCTCTTAGCTATTTGTATGTCCTGTTTGGAGAGGTGTTTATTTAGTTCCTCTGCCTATTTTTTAATTTGGTTCTTTGTCTTTTTTTGTTGTTGAGTTGTATGAGTACTCTATATTTTGGAAAATAATCCCCTATCTGATGTATCGCTGGCAATTATGCTATTCCATAGAGTGGGTTGCTCATCCATTTTGGTGGTGGTTTCTTTTGCTGTACAGAAGCTTTTGAGTTTGATGTAGTCCCATGTGTTCATTTTCTCCTTTGTTTGTGTTGCCTTAGGAGATGTATCAGTGAAAATTCTGCTGCGTATGATGTCTGAAAAATTGTTGCCTACATTTCCTTCTAAAATTTTTATGAATTCACATGTCACATTTAAGTCTTTTATCCATTTTGAGTTTATTTTTGTGTATAGTGTAAGTTGGTGTTCTAGCTTCATTTTTTTGCAAGTAGCTGTCCAGTTTTTCCAACACCATTTATTAAAGAGGCTGTCTTTACTCCATTGTAAAAATAGGGAACACTTCATGAATTTGTGAATCATCCTTGAGCTGGGGCCATGCTAATATTCTCCGTATCATTCCAGTTTTAGAATATGTGCTGCCAAAGTGAGCACGGTAGTGGCTGTTTTCTGATTAAGTAGAAATTCATGTAAGGAATGGAATGTGACTCACAAATTGATAATGAATGCCTCTTTCTCAGTGGAACTTCAAGTTCCACTGTTAATTCTATTGCCAAATTGTTACAGTTGTACAGTTTCAGAAAGTTTTGGGGGCTATATGATTTATTTTAAAATACGATTTTATTTTTGATAGCAAAAAATGTACTACAATGAACATAATTTACTTTAATTACCAAATAAATAATTTATTAAAAAATTGTTTTTTATTGAAGACAGTGTAGTCTAATGTTGAATAATCAGGTGGGATGATTATGAGTGTTGGTTCAGGAATCACATTGTCTACATGTTTAATATAACTCTGATGCTAACTAGTAAAGTGATGTGAAAAATTATGTAGTCTCTCTGTTCCTCAGTATTCTTGAATGAAAATGGAAACACTACTTCCTACCTATAATAATTAATTAATTATTACATGACAAACAATTTATGTCTGGGGCATGGTACGTAGTCAATAAATATAAGTTATTAAATGGATGGACATTATATTATATTTAAGGTAACATATGCAGTCTATGTAGGGGTTTTTGATTTTAAAAAATCTACTAGCCTTTTTTTTTGGTAGGTTAAATTGATTCAGATATTGAAAAGACAGACTTTTATAATAACTATAATTATCCTGTATTTGTGTAGGAAGTGACCAAGAAGACTTGATCAAGAATCCACTTTTATTTTTTTATTGAGATGTATTTGATGATTAAAATTGTAGATATTGAAGGGAAAATGGTGGCAGAGTGAACGGAAGCTACACAGACCGCCTCCCAGGACCAAACTGAAATTACAACTATAACACAGACAAATCGACGGGAAAAACCAACAGAAAAGCAGCTTTGGAGGACCATATAACGAGGGACACTGACTCCATCCAGGAGAGGGAGCCACAAACAGCAGAACACCAACACCCACAGGGAAAACTTGACAGTCTCCAAAGCCCACAGTGATAGCCAAAATGGTGAAAGACAGAAACAGAAGCCAAATAAAAGAGCAAGAGACCTCCACCGAAGATGACATCAATGTGGAGCAATTAGGCATGTTAACAGAGCTAGAAATCAGAGCCATGATCTTGAGGAAGCTGAACAGCATGAGTAAGGACATAGAGACACTGAAAATAAGACAATTGGAAATTAAAAACCATCAAGAAGAGATAAAAAATGACATATCAGAAATGAAAAACACATTGGAAGGTTTAAAAAGCAGAGTAGAGGAAGTTGAGGACCGGATCAGTGAATTAGAAGACAGGGTAGAAAAAATCAACCAATCAGAAAAAAAAAAGAAAAAACTATTCAAAAACAGGAAGACAGCTTAAGAGAACTATGGGACAACTGGAAACGTAATAATATTCGCATCATAGGAGTCCCCAAAGAAGAAGAAAATGAGCAAGGGATAGAGAACATATTCAAAAAGTAGTGACAGAAAACTTCCCTAATTTGGTGAAGGGAGAAGGCATTCAAGTTCAAGAAGCACAGAGAGTCCCAAGTAAGAAGAACCCAAACAGGCCCACACCAAGACACATAGTAATTAAAATGCCACAAATTAAAGACGAAGAGAGAATCCTAAAAGCAGCAAGAGATAAGCAACAGGTTACCTACAAAGGGAACCCCATAAGGCTCTCAGCTGATTTCTCACAAGAAACACTACAGGCCAGAAGAGAATGGCATGAAGTAATCAAAGTCATGAAAAACAAGAATCTGAATCCACGACTACTCTACCCAGCAAGGCTATCATTCAAAATAGAAGGTCAAATAATGAGCTTCTCTGACAAAAAAAGGCTAAGGGAATACATTAGCACCAAACCAGCACTGCAAGGACTGCTGTAATTAGCAGGAGAAATATGAAAAAAATTATAACCACACTAAACAAAAATGGCAATAAATAAGTACATATCAATAATCACCTTAAATGTAAATGGACTGAATGCTCCCATAAAAAGACACAGAGTAGATGATTGGATAAGAAAGCATGCCTCATCTATATGTTGTTTACAAGAGACCCACCTCTCAACAAAAGACTCACATAGGTTGAAAGTGAAGGGATGGAAAAAAAATTTCCAAGCAAATGGAAAGCAAAAAAAAGCTGGGGTAGCAATTCTCATATGTGATAAAATAGATTTCAAAATGAAGACCATAACTAGAGACAAAAAAGGCCACTACATAATATTGAAAGGATCTATCCAACAGGAAGATATAACCTTGATAAACATATATGCATCCAATATAGGAGCACCAAAATATATTAAAAATCTTCTGGAGGACTTCCAAGGAGAAATCGACAACAATACAATCATAGCAGGGGATTTCAACACCCTGTTGACAGCACTGGATAGTTCTCTAGGCAAAAAATTAGCAAGGAAACAGAGACTCTAAATGAAGCAGTAGACCAAATGGATTTAATAGATATCTACAGAGAATTACACCCCAAAACTACAGAATACACATTCTTCTCAAGTGCACATGGGACATTCTCAAAGATAGACCACATGATAGGACACAAACTAAATCTCTACAAGTTCAAGAAGATTGAAATCATATCAAACATCTTCTCAGATCACAATGGCATGAAACTAGAAATCAATTGCAACACGAACATGCAAAGACATTTCAAAACATGGAGGCTAAATAGCATGTTTTCAAACAATGAATGGGTCACCAAGGAGATCAAGGAAGAAATTAAAAACTTCCTGGAAACCAATGAAAATGAACACACAACAACAGAAAAATCTATGGGATGCAGCGAAAGCAGTTCTGAGAGGGAAGTTCATAGCACTACAGGCTTACCTCAAAAAACAAGAAAAATTTCTAATTGACTGTCTAATCTCACAACTTAAAGAATTAGAAAGCAAACAAAAAGAAAACCCAGAGCAAGTAGAAAGAAGGAAATAGTAAAGATCAGAGCAGAAGTAAATGACAGAGAGTCCAAAAAAACAATTCAAAGAATCAATGAAACAAAGAGCTGGTTTTTCGAAAAGATAAACAAGATTGATGGACCCTTAGCTAGTCTCACCAAGAAACAAAGAGAGAGAACCCAAATACACAAAATCAGAAATGAAAGAGGAGAAGTAAAAACCAACACCACGGAAATACAAAAGATTGTTAACAACTACTATGAACAACTACATGGCAACAAATTCAAAAATCTAAGCGAAATGGACAAATTTCTAGAAACACACAGTCTCCCAAAACTGGACCGGGAAGAGAGAGAAAACTTGAACAGACCAAAAACAACTAAGGAAAGTGAAGATGCAATCAAGACTCTCCCAGGAAACAAAAGCCCAGGACCAGATGGCTTCACGGGGGAGTTTTACCGAACATTCAACAAAGAACTAACACCCATTCTCCTCAAACTATTTCAAAAAATTCAAAAAGAAGGAAGACTTCCAAACACGTTCTATGAGGCCAGCATAATACTAATTCCAAAACCAGAAAAAGACAGTACGAAGAAAGAAAACTACAGGCAAATATCCCTGATGAACATAGACGCCAAAATCCTGAACAAAATATTAGCAAATCGAATCCAGCAATTTGTCAAAAAAATTATTCACCATGACCAAGTGGGATTCATTCCAGGGATGCAAGGCTGGTACAATATTCGCAAATCAATAAATGTGATACACCACATAAATAAGATGAAGAATAAAAACCACATGATCATATCAATAGATGTTGAAAAAGCATTCGACAAAATTCAGCATCCATTTCTGATAAAAACGCTCAGCAATGTCGGAATAGAGGGATTATATCTCGACATAATAAAGACCATATATGAAAGACCTACAGCCAACATCATACTCAATGGACAGAAACTAAAAACATTTCCATTAAGAATAGAAACAAGACAGGGATGTCCACTTTTGCCACTCTTATTTAACATTGTACTGGAAATCTTAGCCACAGCAATCAGACAGGAAGAAAAAATAAAAGGGATCCAAATTGGAAAGGAGGAAATGAAACTGTCATTATTTGCAGATGACATGATATTATACATAGAAAACCCTAAGGACTCCATCAAAAATACTAGACTTAATAGATGAATTTGGCAAAGTAGCAGGATACAAAATTAATGTCAAGAAATCAACGGCATTCTTGTACTCCAATGATGAACTCACAGAAAGAGAAATTGAAAAAACAATCCCATTTACCATCGCGCCAAAAAAATTAAGATACCTAGGAATAAACTTAAGCAAAGAAGTAAAGGACCTATTTGGAGAAAACTACAGGTCATTGAAAAAAGAAATAGAGGAAGATATAAAAAAGTGGAAGTACATACCATGTTCATGGATTAGAAGAATTAACATCATTAAAATGTCCATACTATCCAAAGCAATCTATACATTCAATGCAATCCCCATCAAAATACCAATGACATATTTCATAGAACTAGAACAAATACTTCAAAACCTCATATGGAACCAAAAAAGACCCTGAATAGCCACAGCAATCTTGAAAAAAAAAAGAACAAAGTAGGTGAGATCACAATACCAGATATCAGGTTATACTACAAAGCGACTATAACCAAAACAGCCTGGTACTGGCACAAGAACAGGCATATACCAGTGGAACAGAACTGAAAACCCAGAAATGGACTCAAGGCAATACGCTCAATTAATATTTGACAAAGTTGGCTAGAGCATACAGTGGAGTAAAGACAGCCTCTTTAATATATAGTGTTGGGAAAATTGGACAGCTATATGCAAAAAAAATGAAACTAGACCATCAACTTACACCATACACAAAAATAAACTCAAAATGGATAAAAGACTTAAATGTGACCCATGAATCCATAAAAATGCTAGAAGAAAATGTAGGCAACACAATTTCGGACATCATACGGAGCAGAATTTTCACTGATACATCACCTAAGGCAACAGAAACAAAGGAAAAAATGAACACATGGGACTACATCAAACTAAAATGCTTCTGCACAGCAAAAGAAACAACCCT